GACACATAATAAGCTCAATACACCTACCATTTTCTTAAGCAAATGAAATTTAAAAATATATACGGTTGAAGTACAAGTGCGTTTTAATTTTCTACAGTGCTCTTATCCAAATAATCGATTTCATCAATTGAGAAACAGTGATATTCCAGTGACACTTAATCGGCTCGTGTTCAGCTATCCAGGCCGAAATTTAAACAAATTAACTATTGACGGTTTTTTCATTAGTTGTCTTGCGAACTTAGAGAATTTGTATGAGGAGAACAGCATTAAGCAATTGTGAGCAGTGCTTGGGAGTATGAGCTTCGACAAGTCGTTTGCCAATCAAGAAATGAGTGATTCTGACGTCAGGATAAATTTTTGCCCTTATGCCTCATTATAAAGCATGTCCTGTGGGCAGATTTTGGAAATAATTAGAATTTTTTAGATCGCTATCAAACAGATTAAAGAAAGTTGTTCGTTCTGACCATCTACTTGCCCAAGTATTTCTTGAATTATATAAACATGGTGCGACCCCTCGCTAATTTCAATAAGATTGTGTATCGGGCTACAGTAGCCATGACATGAAGGTAAATCTATGTACTTCTGTATGAATTGTGGGGATTCATAAAGAAAATTAAAGTATTTTGTTCCCAAATGCGCTCGTGATATCTTATAAGAAGTCGCAGCAATTCTGTGTGATACAGGATGTTGGTTCCTACTTGAGATCTGTACTGGTGTTGCGACCAACGTTCGCTGTCTTTCGAAGTAGGTAACGAAACCCAGTCCCCTCTACTAGGTACTTTCCACGAAAGTTGAAGCTCAAGCTTTTCGGAGCTCAAGCTCTTTACACCCAAAATCTTTTATAATTTGAAGCTGAGGTTTAACTTCAGTGCACCCTTATAAATAAATCAGGGGCTTAAAACTTTATCAATGAGGTCTTTAGGTGTAACAAGGAATCACATACTCTTCTAACAGGGGTGTATCACACCAGAAGGGCATGGTGTGACCACATCCAAAAAAGAATACGGGGCTGGGTAGCCAGTAGTTATTCATGTATTTAGATTTTACTATACATTTTTAGGAAATCTATGCATTTAACATAAGGCGGCTTTGCCGCAGATAAAAATAAATAAAGTCAGTTTTGAATTTAAACCGAAGAGTTAATTAACCTTGGGTTAGGGGTATAATTACTCTTGGAGTAAGGGGATTGCGAACCGCTACACTCGTACTTGTTCTGAGTTTAGAACGAGAAGTCGTTGACCTGACTTACGCTTCCTCAAAGCGCAAAGCTACGGCAGCCCCGCTGCACTAGGTGCTCTTGGGTTTTTTTGCATGTAGCTACGAGCCATGACTCATTTCGAGTTCAGTTGCAAATTTACCTATAAGGTGTTAAGCCGTTCTTCTTTCCTCTATGTCGGGACTGTCCTTCTCTCCCCACATCGTTAAACGCTTCTCTGTTGCATAAGCGTGTGTGTTGTGTTTCAGGGGCTGTTTGTGAACAGCGCTCTCTTACACCTGGTTGCACCTCGAGCAGTTATTTCAACGACACTCAACTTTGATTTGTTGACGCGGCTGTTTAGCTCGTTGCGCATTGTAGTTCAAGCCCAAGCAATACGCTTGTTCTTGTCCAAGCGACATGGAAGGCGTTGGAGTTCCGATCGGTCCATCAGTACCGCAATCTCTGGTGTTGATGAATGAGATGCTTCCTCATTTGTTTGGATGGCACTCGAGCGGATGGAGAAGTCATTGGAAGAACTACTGTAATCTGTTTATTGCATTTGTCTTCTCTGGATGATCAAAAGAACGCGGCCGTCAATTCCATGCATCATTAGAATATGATGAGCATGAAAGCGGATAGCGACCACTGTTTATTCGCACAGAACGATGCCTCTGAAGCTAAACATGTATCTGTACCGCGGTGGAGTAAAGAATCTTTCTCACGGTGATTTGTCAAGCTGGATGTAGCTTTCACTGCAAGACAAATGCGAAACCCTTGCAGCAAGTGCTGCTCACAATACC